AGTTAGCAGACCTTGATCCCTAACAGAAAGTCATGGCACACAAGAGTATGGCCCCTACCTCAGTCCACTTTCTAAATCTCTGTGTGACTGCATCTAACCCGGTGAACTCAGCTGCAAGGGAGTCTGTCAATGTAGTCTTTCTTCCCACTTCTGTACGTAGAAGGAGCAGAGAAGGAGCTGGAGGTTGGGAGAGCCAATCCAAAGTAACTGCCAAATTGTCTTAAGTTGATTCTCATAAAAGAAGTCTTTTTTCTGGTCCTAATTGTCGTGTGTAATGGGATACTCATTTGCTTTGTTCCTACTGGCTGTATAAATAATTAGGAAGGATAAAAGTCCCAGGAATCTTTCCAGTCACTTGTACGATGACTCCTATGATCATTGGCTTTGGGTGCTGTGTTGGACTAGTTGGCTTGTAAATGTGGGGGCATAAATCCATCCATGCAGAACGACGTGTAGTAATTGCTATTGGGCTAGGTTGTTGGGATTTAGGATCAGTTTCTCCCTTTCCACTTCCTCCTCTTCCTCCTCTTCCTCTTCCTCCTCCTTCTTCATGTCCTTTATTCTTTATAATGCTTTCACTATATTCAAATCTGTGATGAAAAAGAGCTGGCCTAGGCAATAACATTTAAGAATTGAATTTTGGAAAACTCTTCCAGAGTTTACTTCTTGCATGCCTTTCATCAACTAATCTTTTTATACTATCATTATATTAATGGGAAAATGAGAGCCCTGTTTATGTACCAGGATAACTAAAAATATACTTATTAAGGCTTAAAGGTCACTTTTAAGGTTATGCTGGAAAAATGAAAATAATCTATACCTTTTACTTGTCCAGGATAAGGAAGACATGCCAAGCAGTTGTACTTTTTATTAGGATGAATTTGGGCGCTAGTTTTTTGGCTTCTGGTTTCCTCTTGCATCATAATTGGAGAGTGGAATTAAGTACAGTGGCCAAACAGGATATTAGAAGTTGCTTATTATAGTTATTTCTTTTACTGTAGACTATCTAGAAATTATATGGCATGATTTCTCAAACTTTGTATTGTAGTACTTTAGTTTTTTGTATAGACTGGTGAAAATGGTGACAAAGTATTAAATATGTATATATGAATACCTCTATTTAGATGTAAATAAAAAGTCTCTCAAAGTTTTGCTTAACTATTTAAAGTGTGTTACTCTCCTTTACTAGTTGAAAAGTAAATTAGTTTCCTCCCACAGTAAAGGCTACTTGGTATTTTTGATTATAGAAAAATAAAGTACTTTGTATAAGGGCTGTGTTTCTGAAGCTGCAGTTTCTTTTCAGCTCTCAATAAGCTTTGTAATTGATCGTCAGCAAGTTACATGTTGTGGTTAAAAATAGAGTTTTTAGGGAAGAAGCAACAGGGGTTAGGATTAAGACTAGTAAATCTGTACATTCCCTACCCTTGTGAAAAAAACTAGCTATAGATTCACAGCAAATATACCAATAGCACCAAAGATGCTTCCTTTATAGTAAATACCCTTTTCTGTCTTGTCCATCTGCAGTTTCTCCACTCCAGATGATTTAGGTGTTTGTTTTGGGTTTAAAAAAGAGTAAAGAAAAGGTTTACTTTTATTTTGTGGAGACTTTGTTTTTCTTTTTGTTTTAATTGAGATAACATTGGTATATAACATTAGATAGATTTGAGGTGTGCATCATTGTAATTTGACTTCTGTATACGGTACACTGTGTTCACCACCAAAAGTCTAGTTTCCATCTGTCACCATAAGTTCACCCCTTTTACCTGTTTCGTCCTCTCCCTACTCCCCTTCCCTTCTCGTAACCACCGGTCTGTTCTCTGTATGTATGTGTGTGGTGGTGGTGGTGGTGGTTGTTTGCAATCTTCCACGTATGAGTGAAATCATACAGTATTTGTCTTTCTCTTTCTGCCTTATTTCACTTAGCATAATTCCCTCAAGGTCCATCCACGTTGTCACAAATGGCAAGATTTCATCTTTTGTTTTTTATGGCTGAGTAGTATTCCATTGTGTGTGTGTATGTGTATATATATAGATATAGATATATACGTATGTATCTATATCTATATATGTATCTACCACATCTTCTTTATCCATTCATCTGCCATTGGACACTTAGATTGTTTCCATGTTTTGGCTATTGTAAATACTGCTGCAATGAACATAGGCGTGCATGTATCCTTTCAAAATAGTATTTTAAAATTTTTTGTCAAAGAGTGTCAAAGTGTCACTGATGTCAAAGAGTGTACTGCCTGTGTTTTCTTCTAGGAGTTTTATGACTTCAGGTCTTACATTTAAGTCTTTCATCCATTCTGAGCTAATTTTTGTATATGTTGTAAGATATTGGCTAGTTTTGTTCTTTTGCTTGTTACCGTCCAGTTTTTCCAACCTTATTTATTGAAGAAACTTTCCTTTCTCTACTATATGTTCTTGGTTCATTTGTCAAAAATTAGCTGTCCATATACACGTGAGTTTATTTCTGGGCTCTCAGTTCTGTTCCATTGATCTGTTTTCCTGCTACTACCATGCTGTTTTGATTACTATAGCTTAGTAGTATACTTTGAAATCAGGGATTGTGATGCCTCTAGCTTTGTTCTTTTTTCTCAGTATTCCTTTGGCTATTCAGGATCTTTTGTTGTTCCATATAAATTTTAGGATTCTTTGCTCTATTTGCATGAAAAATACCATTGGGATTTTGATTGGGATTCCATTGAATCTGTAGATTGCTTTAGGTAATATGGACATTTTAACTATGTTAATTCTTCCAATCCATGAGTATGGAGAGTCTTTCCATTTCTTTGTGTCTTCTTTGGTTTCTTTCATTAATGTTTTGTAGTTTTCAGAGTGCAGATCTTTCACCTCCTTGATTAAACTTATCCCTTAGGTATTTTATTCTTTTTGTTGTTGCAATTATAAATGGGATTGTTTTCTTGATATCTCTTTCTGCTAGTTTGTTGTTAGTCTATAGAAACTCAAGTGATTTTTGTATATTGTTTTTGTACCCTGCAACTTTACTGTATTTATTATTTCTAATAGTTTTTTGGTGGGTTCTTTAGGGTTTTCTATATATAAAATCATGTCATCTGCAAAAAGTGGCAGTTTTACTTCTTCCTTTCCAATTTGTGTGTCTTTTACTTCTTTTTCTTGCCTGATTACTCTGGTTAGGACTTCCAATGCTATGGTGAATAAGAGTGGTGAGAGCACCCATCCTTGTCTTGTTCCTGTTCTTAGAGGGACAGTTTTCAGCGTTTCACTATTGAGTATGATATTAGCTCTAGGTTTGTCATATATGGCCTATATTATATTGAGGTACTTTCCTTCTTTATCCATTTTATTGGAAGTTTTTATCATAAATATATGTTGAATCTTGTCAAATGCTTTCTCTGCATCTCTTGAGATAACCAGATGATTTTTATTCTTCATTTTGTTAATGTGAGGTACCATGTTGATTGCTTTGCTGATATTGAACCATCCTTGCATTCCTGAACTAAATCCCACTTGATTGTGGTGTGTGATCCTTTTAATGTATTGTATTCAATTTGCTAATATTTTGTTGAGGATTTTTGCATCTATGTTCACCAGTGATATTGGCCTGTAATTTTCTTTTTTTCTTGTTGTCCTTTTCTCGTTTTGGTATCAGGGTAATGTTGGCCTCATAAAATGAGTTAGGAAGCATCCCCTCTTTTTCAATTTTTTGGAAGAGTTTGAGAAGGACAGGTATTAAATCTTCTTTGAATGTTTGGTAGAATTCACCAGAGCAGTCTTCTGGTCCTGGACATTTGCTTTTTGGGAGATTTTTGGTTACTGTTTCAATCTTGTGGAGACTTTTCTTGGGTCCAGAGTTTAACCATGGGCAAGCAGGATAAGAGTTTAGTTTTACACTTAATATTATCTTTATATTACCTCTTAATTATTCTTTCATAATATTTAAAGAGCAGGTCTGGTGTGTCAGCCTCAGTCTCCATGTGGGGAAGATAATAGATGTACATGCCTGTGGACTGTGGCTCTTTATGGTGGCTCCTATTGGGATCATCTTTGAAAAGCCCTGGGACACTCTGGAGAAGTGGTTCTTGGCACAAGAACTCTCTCACTCTCTCTTTACCTTTCATTCTAGCCTTGAGTGAGCAAGTCCAGGTCTGTGTGAGCCTTCGTCTGACATTGCAGCTTCACACAGCTTGAGTTTGTCCTCCCTTCTCCTCTACCTATTCCTTTTTTACTCCTTTTTCTTTACTCCTTCCTTCTCCTTCTCTTTTCTTTTTACTCATCTGTTATTCATATTTAGTTTATTCACAGGGCTTTCCCCTTTTTTCCACCCAAAGCATTTTTCCCTTAAAGGACTCCTGGTCGATTGTGTGCCTTGGGGGAGGAAGACACCATTGAGACATGAGGTGACCCAAACAATGGCACAGTTATTATCAGCCATCTTTATAAATTGTGGAAAGACATAAGGTATCACTTTCTGAAATGCCTTGGGTGAAATATTAAAATTATAGTAAACATGATATAAGTGATATGACACGTGCACGTAAGATGTGTGCACATGGCCATGTGGATGTCAAAAGTTATTTCACATAATCTTATTGGGGACTCTTTCAGTGATTACTCTGAAAAGGTAGTGATTACCTTTAAAACTTAGGATTTGAAATATCTTTCGGGAACATTCTAATGGCAAATTTACTAGAAAGGGAAGAGAGAAGACTGTCTTGGAAATAAATTGGTTTGTCACTCAGAATTTTCTTCCCTCTTCTCAGAGATCTACTCGTCTTCAATGATATTGTTCAAAGATTAGGCAAACAAGGGACTTAAGGTTTTATGGTAATACGTACAAATCACTTTGAAATCCAAGGGTGGAAAAGAGGGGACACATAGAAATACTAATCATATCTTTCTGTGGAGGGATCTTTCTGGAAGTATTAAACAAATATATTTTGCAGTCTTTTTTTGTGACACTTGGATTACTGCTTATTTTATATTTAACTATGTCTGTCTGTATTGCCCCTCAGGAAGTTTTTGACATGAGGTCTGAGGGACAGGCAACTGTAATTCAGCAGCTGGAACAGACCATTGAGGATCTGAGGACCAAAATAGCTGAACTAGAGAAGCACTACCCCACTGTGGACATGGAGATGACCAGTGGCCGTCATGGGATTCAGAATGGCTTGGCACCCTCAGAAGATGTGTGTCTTGAAGCTCTCAGGTTAGGAGAAAAGGATGTACAGCATCAAAGGATTTTACAGGCAAAGTCAATCCAGACATCTCCAACAGAAGAGGGCGGAATACCGACACTACCTTCTGTTGATGCACTGCCTGCGTCTCCTCCGTGCCCACCTGGGGCTGAACATGGAGACTCTGCTGTGCCTTCCTCTCCTTCTGGACCTCAGACAAAATTCTGTTCAGAGATTTCTTTGATTGTGTCTCCAAGGCGAATATCGGTACAGCTTGACGCACATCAGTCCATTCAGCCTTCACCACCTCCATCCCTTCCATGTTCTGACGGTCAAGGACAGGCTGGGTCACAGCCTTCCCATCCTTCTCTTCATACTGAGTTTGAAACCAGCCATGAACACTATGTTTTCTCCTCCTTTGAAAACGGCTGTAACATCCCACCCCCACCACCTCTGCCTTGCACAGAGTCCTCCAGCTCCCTGCCTGGCCTGGGCATGGCGGTTCCCCCGCCTCCCCCTCTCCCTGGCATGACAGGGCCTGCTCTGCCCAGTGCAGCAATCCCTTCCCCTCCTCCTCTACCTAGTACAGAAATGCTGCCACCCCCTCCCCCACCTTTGCCTGGTGAGGGAATACCTCCTCCCCCACCTCTTCCTGGAATGGGAATACCTTCTCCCCCTCCTCTTCCTGGAATGGGAATACCTCCTCCCCCTCCTCTTCCTGGAATGGGAATACCTTCTCCCCCTCCTCTTCCTGGAATGGGAATACCTCCTCCCCCACCTCTTCCTGGAATGGGAATACCTTCTCCCCCTCCTCTTCCTGGAATGGGAATACCTCCTCCCCCACCTCTTCCTGGAATGGGAATACCTTCTCCCCCTCCTCTTCCTGGAATGGGAATACCTCCTCCCCCACCTCTTCCCGGAATGGGAATACCTCCTCCCCCCCCTCTTCCCGGAGTGGGAATACCTCCTCCCCCCACCTCTTCCCGGAGTGGGAATACCTCCTCCCCCGCCTCTTCCCGGAGTGGGAATACCTTCTCCCCCGCCTCTTCCCGGAGGGGGAATACCTCCTCCCCCGCCTCTTCCCGGAGGGGGAATACCTCCTCCCCCGCCTCTTCCCGGAGTGGGAATACCTCCTCCCCCACCTCTTCCCGGAGTGGGAATACCTCCTCCCCCACCTCTTCCCGGAGTGGGAATACCTCCTCCCCCACCTCTTCCCGGAGTGGGAATACCTCCTCCCCCACCTCTTCCCGGAGTGGGAATACCTCCTCCCCCCCCTCTTCCTGGAGTGGGAATACCTCCTCCCCCTCCTTTGCCTGGAGTTGGGATCCCCCCACCTCCTCCTCTGCCAGGTATGGGGATTCTTCCTGCTCCAGCTCCCCCTCCCCCTCCTGGAACAGGCATCCCCCCACCCCCACCACCTCCCCTGCTTCCGGGATCAGGCCCTCCACCTGCCCCACAAGCTGGGGGTAGCACTTTACCAACGCCACAAGTGTGCGGATTTCTTCCTCCCCCGTTGCCAACGGGCCTGTTTGGCTTAGGGATGAACCAGGACAAAGGGAGTAGGAAGCGGCCCATAGAGCCTTGTCGGCCCATGAAGCCTCTGTACTGGACGAGGATTCAGCTGCAGAGCAGAAGGTAACATGACAGGAGCACGTCTGTGCACAGTTGTCAATGCGAGGGAAGCATTTCCTTTAAAACTGTTGGGAAAATTACAGTTTAATGTACTTTTAAGTACTGCTCTAACTGTAGATTTTTACATCAATATTTAGTGAAGCAATCTGTTATTTAAAATTTTAGACTTTTCTCCAGAAGTATCAAAGAGAGAAGTGACATATGTGTCAATGTAGAAGATGTGCAGATGTCTGTCTAGTTATTGATCGATCTTTTACAGATAGAGGGACAGAGTTTTCTTAGCATGCATGCTGTATTGCCTTGTTGCAGAACCTCCCCCTGACAAATAGCTTAGAAATTAACTCAAACCCTTAGACGCGCTGAGTCCCCAGGAGGTTTCCCTCGCCCTTTGGAAGGTGCCTTCTTGTTTTACTCGTCCATTTTGTTGACAGTAGTTTTTCTCTTCAGAAAGTACTGCACAAAACGCATGCGTCCGCACACCATGTGTGAAATAATTTACTTTTGAGAATTTCATGGCACTTCTGTAGAGGATTGGCGACACAGTGTGAAGTCATAAAACCATACTGGGAATGATATTTATAAAAGGACACTTCCCACCAGGTATGCTGGTGGTGCATCACTTATTCATGCAGAGTCCATAGCCTGTGTCCCCTGACCCTGGGGACAGTGCTGTGATAATGTGACTGTGGAATGTGCTGGTGGCAGGAAAAACACACACTTTAAGCTTCACTTGCCTTCCTTGTTCTAACTTTCCCTGATTCCTTGAGTTTTTTTGTGTGTGATGTGGTGTGCACTGAGAAAAAGAGGATATTTACCAGGCTTGTTCTCCTTTCTTTTATTAATTTTCTCTTCACTGAATCACATTGAGGAGAAGAGTCTATTTTGAATGCTCCCCTCTTTGCAGCTTGCTCTCTGTATAGTTGCCATGTCACTTATATGTGCATCATTTCAAACTGTGGCCTACACTCCTTTTATCTAGATAAATAATATGAAGTTCTTTTGTTTTGTTCATGTTTGCATTTTTTAAAAATGGATCTACCCTTTTTAGGTGGTATCATATGAATCTACAGTCACTGAGAAGTCAGATAACAATGGATGATGGGAAGTGGTAGAGAGATGGCGGAGGCCTGGATCATGAAATGATTTCTTTCTTAACCCCGTAAATAATCCACAATGAGTCAAGTTGGGATTGTGAGATATCAGACATTTCTTGCCTGTATAGCCTGTACTGAGAGAGGTTTTTCTTCTATGTTTTCTTTTTATGTTTTTATACAGTGACTTGGTAACTGAGAATTCCTGGAAATTACTATTTCTAGGCAAAGGTTTCATTATATATTGATGACATTTTAACTTTCTCATCAAGCTGATAAAACAAATGGTGGTCTTAAGGAAAAAGAATATTCTTTCTTCCTTTTCCTGCAGTTGAATTTCTCCCTCCTTTTTCCATCCCGTCCCCATTTGCCTCCTCCCTCCCTCTCGCCCATGCTTCCTTCTTTCCTGACCTCCTGACTTCCTCCCATCCTTCTTCCCTCTTCTGCCCTCTTTGCTTCCCTTCTTCCTTTCTTTTTATACCCACTATGGTATCTTGTAGTTCAGTTCTATGGCTCTTTCATTGGTCTTTTGCTTAACTTTAGAGACTCCAGTCCTTCGCTTATTTGGGAAAAAATTGAAGAGCCATCCATAGATTGTCACGAATTTGAGGAATTATTTTCTAAAACTGCTGTGAAGGAGAGGAAGAAACCTATCTCTGACACCATCACAAAGACCAAGGCCAAACAAGTGAGTATTCGTGTGTTTTTTGAAATTGACAGTGTTTTGGGCATAAGTGTGAACTTGCATTAGTAAAAAACTTTGGGATCATTTTCTGGGCTGTGTAAGCTCCACAGTCCTTTAGCAGATAGCAGAGGTTAGAATCTTAGAACATGTGGTTAAGTAAGACTATCCCAAATAGAACAACAAATAATCATCTCCACCAAGGGATCATGTCCTGACTATTTGTAGCCTCATTTGTTTCCAAAATTTCAGCAATTGCCTGTTTCCAGAATTAGTTATCTAGAAATAAACTGTCACTTGATTGAAATCCATCTGAGATGTGCTACTATGGATGGAAAGAGAGGTAAAAGTGGTCAAAGGAAGACAAAAAGTCCAGTCCTCAGTAACTGATAACATTTTTGGTATTTTGTTGCATCATAACTGAAGCAGGTCTCTGTAGAACCCAGCTAAATCATCACGCTATGCTTGACATATGGAAGAAAATCTTGAATCCAGTTCCAACATCTCCATTCTGTGTTCGATCCTTTTGATCTATCCTGTGACACTTGATTCATAATAAGAAAGAATAGTACATTTGGAGAAAAACATTTACAAGCAACATTTTTCAACTGATCCACCCGGTGGACTTGATCGTGAAATGATATTGTTGTACATTTATCAAGGGTGTCATTCAGGAAAGTTTAGTAAAACTCCACAATAATGAACCCCAGATAGAAACTATTACTGTTGGCACCCATCCTCCATCCTGAAATGCGGAGCTGCTGCATTTCTTAACTTTTACAGGGTTGGGGAAAGAGTGCGTGGAGGCAAGAAGCTCAGTCTCTTGGGGTCAGGGGAAGGGAGAGAAATGAGGCCCCAAATCCCCAGTGATCTCCTGGCCCAATGTCCCTAGATGAGTGGTGACTAATGGGGTGATTCCTGGGATTTTTGCCTCTGACCTAGAAGTTGTAGCTGGACATACGACCCAGAGTTGTTCCCACTGATATTTATTTCAGAGCAGACAACTCCTACGAGATGGATTCTGCCATATCCAGCCAGGAAGGCATGGATTTGAATGGGACAGCTAGACCCCTGAACCTCTAACTGAGTGGGTGGGCAGACTCACCGCAGGCATTTCTATTAATCTAATAATGATGCAAACCCAAACATTATGCGGTTGAATTTTTTAGAACCATTTATTCATTATAGCTGGTTGCTGGTGACCTTAGGTCAAGGACTATGGTAAATTGGACAATACCTGGCACAGTGTGTAGGCACTGAATAAATATTTGTTTAACTACTAAACCAGCTGACTGAGGGAGGAAGACTTTATCAATATCAGTGACTATGCCTAGTGATGATGAAAAGCCAGAAAATCATTCTTCTTGTAGTAATTAATACGGCCAAGCTGGCAGTGTTAAGGGGAATAAAAGTAAATGGAAACTACATTTTTCTCTGGCAGAGGTAAATATTTTTAAGATCTTTCCACAGTATATTTGCATGTAGCACACTTAGGCTGAGTCATCGTATCTCTTCTCATGGGCTATATCAGAGATGGAAAAGCTGTCTGGGCGAGAAATATGGGCAGAGAGTACAGACATCAGGGAGAGTGAGGCAGCCAGGCTTGTCCTTTGACGAATGGGCACATGTGACGCAGGATGTCTCTTATCCAGGGATGAAATACTCAGAAAAGCAAACCATGCCCTCCCTGCTTCCCGTCACCACTTTTTTTGTTGAGTGAACACTGATAAGGAAGATGCCACCTGTGTCGCCTGAGACTATGGGATTTCATGATTGATTTGACACTGTATTCAGTTTTTAGCTTACTCAAATAAGATTTATGTCTAAGTCATCACAACTTCAAATTCAACTAGTTGGCATGAGATGGCCTCTGTGTATCTGAACAGCGCATCTGTGTTGAGCATCATCTCAACATGATCACCTCACTCTGTCCCTAAGATGTTTCATAAACTGTGGGTAAGAGACCGCCAGTGTCGTAATTTGCACTTATTGATGCTGATGCTACTGTTAACCTTCAGCTTCAACCAGGGTTTATGGAACGGCCTCCCCCATGGCTCTTTATAAGCTTGTTCAGCATCTCCTTGGCCTGGGTTTTGGTATTGAGCTCTGCATTTCAGGTCTGTTTTTGGAGGGATATACTATTTTTTTCTGTACATTGGAGAGAGAAAAATCTGTGAAGTGATGTATTGCTGAAGAAACCTAGTTTTATTTAACTTTGTTGTATTTGGAAGAAAAATCTATCCATTCCATCTACTTGAGACATTTAAAATTTTGTTTAAGGAAAATGTATTTTCAGGATGCATGCAAATCGTTCCCCTTCTTATGGGAAATGTACACTGATTGACTGTGCAGACATTTTGGTACCTCATGATTCATTTCCAGTGAAATTAATAGCCTTTAATGCCGTGGCGTATGTTTATGGAGGTGTTTCAAGTAATTCTTCTTATATACAATGGAAGCTAGAAGTTCTGTTTTTCTTTAAATATTTAAAAATAGCCAAATAATTTTTCTGTGATCTGTCTTCTTCTTGAAAGTAAGACTGTGGTCAAATGCAGTGGTATTTAATGAGGTGCCTGTGCTGTTTTTACTCTTTCGGAAGAGACATTTTCAGTGTGATAATAGAAGATTCCTTAGCGGGGCATGTGGCCGTTTGGCATGAGGAGAAAGAGGGTTATTTTCTGGATGCCTAGATTAGTAGTAAGGATGAATATCTTATATTTCTAAATCCTTTTTCCTCCAAGAAACCTAAGACAAAGCATTTCATACTTTTTTCATGGCAGATACATTTAAGTTCTTCGATGACTTCTTAGTTTATCTTTCTTTATTTCGGATATTAAAACATAAAGAGTGAGGCTGGCCCGGTGGCACAGTGGTTAAGTTCCCACTTTCTGCTTCGATGGTCTGGGCTTCGCGGGTTTGGATCCTGGGTGTGGACCTACACACCACTTGTCAAGTCGTGCTGTGGCAGGCATCCCACATATAAAGTAGAGGAAGATGGACATGGATGTTAGCTCAGGGCCAGTCTTCCTCAGGAAAAAGAGGAGGATCAGTGGCAGATGTTAGCTCAGGGCTAATCTTCCTCAAAAAAACCCAAACTCCCCTCTCCCCGGCCCCCCTCAAAACATAAGGAGATTAGCTGAGAAGGTGTATGGGAGTTTATCAGACTGTCAATTGACATAGTTCTCCTTAATCAAATGAGTGTGACACTTATTCATCAGAATTAAATATCAACCCTAACACAACAACAGCCCCATCTCTTAAGGAATCAAGAGGAAAATAGAAAAACCAGTCTCATAGGAGGTCCATGTTTAACCATTGACACGTGTACACAGTGGCCCATTTTTCAGGAATGCTCTAGAGCTAGTAAATATTTAGCCCAGTCTCCTATCTTCAGGGTAATTCAGTGATTATTAACGTTGATAATGACCCTAAGTCACCTAAGGATCTTTTGTGTTCAGATAAAGATTAAGTTTAACACAAGCCTACAAGCAGGAAAGCGAGAGAATTTTGGAATGATTTTGATAGTAAGAGTTGCCTCAAAAAGAAGTTTCTGGTTAATCCTGTGTCAAATGAGATTATAAGCAAATATATTTTGGTAAACCCAGTAGTAGTAGTCACAGCAGCAGCAATAGTAATAATAATAGTGGTGATTATAATGACCACAACAGTAATAACCGTGGAAACCACAAGGCAGAGTGTGCTTTGTTTACCATGTGCCAATCATTGTTATTAGCACTCTACTTAAATTAACTTGTTTAATCCTTATAATCCTATGAGGTAGACATCATCATCCCTAGTGTATAGTACAGAAAACTGAGGTGTAGACGGATTAAATAAGGTTACCATTCAAGGGCACGGCTCCATTCAAACTCCAGCTGTCTGGCTGTGCTCATAATCACTAAGCCATAGGTGTGGATGTGAAATCTTTTATGTGAGTGTAAGTATAGTATTTTGTTTATATGGAGACCAGAATAAATGGTTAGTAAAAAGAATTGAGTTTGTATTGATTTTCGTGTATGCTCAATATTTAAATATGCTTTTGAAATTGTATTTGGAGTTACTTTTAAAGCCTTTTCCATATTTGAGCAGATTTTGACAAGTACATAAGCCATGATGCCACCAACCATGACATTGGCCCAGTTAAATAAGAGTTTATCTGAGTGATGTGAGCTGGAGATGAATAAGCTTCTCTAAGCAGTGAAAATGAGGGCCATTTGCTTGGGTGGCATAGAAACAGTGATGAGAGGCATTCAGCCACTGTAGGTAAACCTCCCCAGAGGTCAAGTGATGACACTTTTGATTCACCCCGTGACACAAAAATGAACCATCTCTGAAAACATGGCTAATTTTACGTACTAAGTAGTGTCTAATCATGCTTAAAAGGTCTGTAAAGGGTCGTGCTACCCATGATGTAAATATGCACACAGAAGTCAACAAGAGCGAATAAGGAGAACCTGTGTTGCTTTTTAAATACATAACTGACATTTGTATAACTGTTTAATGCAACACAAATCTCTTCCTGGGTTTCTTCTGTTCTATTTATCAGATTAAAATCCTCTGTCCAGGGGCCGGCCTGGTGGCACAGTGGTTAAGTGCACACGTTCTGCTTCGGTGGCCTGGGCTTCGCCGGTTCGGATCCCGGGTACAGACATGGCACCGCTTGGCAAGCCATGCTGTGGCAGGCGTCCCACATATAGAGTAGAGGAAGAGGGGCATGGATGTTAGCTCAGGGCCAGTCTTCCTCAGCAAAAAAGAGGAGGATTGTGGCAGATGTTAGCTCAGGGCTAATCTTCCTCAGAAATAAAATTAAAAATCAAACAAACAAACAAAAATGCTCTGTCCAAAGAATGGAACAGAAAAATGATTCATGATAGTTAAATATTTGTTGGGCTTCAGCCTCTGGAAATATGATGAGAAAAATAGATAGTTAAATCTACTACTTATCAGAAGGGGAGGTAATACAGGATTTCTTAGAATTCCCATTGTGCACAGACATAAGTGTTGAG